TTCCATGTTCTTGCTAATTCTCCATGACTTGCATTCATACAATAGCACTAACCTGATATAACACTTTTGCAAACGCCTGGTAACACCCAATAGTATTTCACTTGTACACTGTACATTCCTTATATCCACAAATGGCCTTTGCACTAGAACAATTCTGCATTTAATACCCAGATTTGATTTCATGTTTGGTGATAATTGCTTGTATTTAGTTGAAACAGTGAAGTCGTCTCGGGATGAACCTGAAGATGAGGGAGAAGCAGACCCAGGTCCACCAGGAGTGGACCAATATGAGTCCAAGGCCGAAAGCGAAGGAAGGAATATTTCTGATGATAGTGGAAACGAGAGCGAACGCAAGCGAGACAAAGAAAACAGCAACAACCTTGACGCGAACCATGAAGTGGTGGAAAATGATGGTAAGTTGTTATTTAGAATTAAAGTATAGTTTAGATCGATATATACGTGATATGCTGTTCACAGAATATGTTTAAAAACATGCAATCAACGTATAAATTCTATGATTAAAACAGCCTTTATGTCTTGCAATAGAAAAACGTTGATAATGAATTTCTGATGGAATTATGCCTGCTCATTCCACTAACTTCTATACAGTAACCACCCGCGTATAAAAACCTACAATTTTGCAAGTCAGTCTGGCTAGGTTCTTATACAATTACATGAAAAAGTATTTGGACGATCGCCTCAAAGCAAAATTTTGTTAATCAGTGGAGAATAACGAGATTGTTGTCTGAAATTTTCGATTGCATTTTGACCCAATTGTAAAAATAAGCATATATTAAAATTATTATAAAAAAATTTTTAAGACCAGTATAATTTGGCTTTTTTCATATTTTGTCAGATGACCTCCAGGATTCTAGACAGCCGCCATTTGCACTTGAATAGACTGAAATAACTCTGCAAAAAAATATCTTCGGATACAGGACGAATTCTCAAGAAAATTTCTGGAGCTCGAATTCTCAAGAAAAGGGAGCTCAGTTCTGGTCTTAGAAGATTTTTTTCTTGGAAATTTTTTATGAAAACCAGTTGTTTTCAATGACATCAAGGATTTGACCTTGACGGGGTTACTGACAGATCACGATGCCATTTTTTTGGTAATTTTTGTCAAAGTTGCAACATAACTAGGCTAATTGTCTTCTTCCAAATTAAATGGTCTTTGCATAGCAGCAATACTCGTTTCTGCACTTATCTGGGGGCTCTCCTCATATATTTGGGCAAAATATTCACCATTGATTGACTTCGCACCCAACGCCATCTTGCCGACGCCATTAGGCCCAACCGATGACCGGCCTGCCCTGGCCTACCATTCTATGAATATTAGTCGAACTTGTTAACTTATTGGTCTTGTAAATAACAGGTGCTGTAGACATGCTGCAGTCAAAGTTTCTTGCAATTCCAGCCAACCAATGACACGCTAGGCCCAACTTCTTTTTCTTATCATATCCTTTCTGATCGCTTTAGTGTTTACGGTATAGAAACATAAACATTTATATTTTCCATTTCTCCTTGACATTTTGCTATATTTCTATCACAGAAAGGCAGGAAATAGATTGAATTTGTCAGGAATTGCGTTTTTGCTAACACCATTTCTAGAATGCCGCCACAACAGCAAGATTTGTTCAGCAATGTTAGAATGCTAGTTTCGGGGCCGCCATTTTGTTATTCATCGTCCAAATACTTTTGTCTTGTAAGTGTGTATTGGGTATTTGCTAGAAAATGAAACTGTTTGGGTTCTTACATTGGTTCTTATTTGATGTCGGGCTTTCATAGATTTCTTTTGTTCCTATTCAAACTTCAATCTTTTGTTCCAATTCCAACCTCACGCATTTTGATGTGTTTACTGGGGCTAAAGAATTTGAAATTCCAGTGAATTGCAAACTTATTAGTGGCAAAAAGGTGAGCAAAAAGGAGTCCACCAAATACTTGAATTTAAGTGAAATGATGAATGAGAAGCATTTTAGCTTGGTATCTGAGAAACATTGAAATTCAGAATTTGAATTTAAAACCGCATTTGTATATATATTTTAATGACTAAGCAATTAGAGTTTTTATGCAGTTTGGGGATCTCTACAAATAAGAACCTATTCCAGGTAAGTTTCAGGCTGGATTGGTTCTTATAAATTGGGGGTCTAACTTCATAATTTCAGCCAGTAGGTTCTTAATCCACTAGGTCTTATACACGGGTGTTTACTGTCTCCGCCAAAAGTATCCTGCTATTAATCCTGGTTTTTGCTTTCTGTCGCAATAACTGCCAGGTAACGATTTGAAGGCTCGATTTATACCCTGCCGCTATTTATCAAATAAAAGGTACTTTTGTAGCATCAATTTGTAGCTTAATTTATTAACTTTTGTGACAAATGTATAAGAGGTATTGCCTGAAATTGCCACAGTTCCAAAGCGCGTTCGTTATCCTGCTACAGAATCATAGCTTATCGGTTCAACGCAGGTCCTAAATAAGAAGCTCTTCATCCGGAGTATTATTCGCCTAGAAAACAGGTTTTTTTCAAAAGATTCCTCATCTTCAACTGAATTGAATCTTCGATATGGTTTGCTCAGTTTAAAATAGAAGTTTTACGGTAGCCTAGTGTTTAAAAGAAAGTTCTCAAGGAAGCACGCAAATTTATGAAGATTTGACAGTAATTAAAAAGGACGTTTAGCATATATTTGGGACACTTGGGTAGGCCGTCAGGTTATGTTATCTGTAGTTTTTAACAACTCGTACGGATTATCTTAGAAAAAGTAAATAAAATCTGTTCCATTCAATGTGTGGTGAGAACATTAAGGGTGTGCTAGACTTATCGGATACAGGAGGAAATGGTTTTTCAGTATAAAGAGGAATCTAGAAGTGCAGAAAAGAGTATACAAGAAAGTTGAGTTAGAGGGAAGAATTTAATCATGCAAATTTTTATCTGATATCAAACTATGCATTACAAAATATATTAAGTGAAGAAGTCTTTTTTAGAGGAGAAAAAGGAAATTAGCGCTGCACCGTCAGAAGGTGAATCTGGCAAAGAGAAGAAGGATGTGCATGAAAAGGAAGCGAAGTCTGGGAAGCGAGACTGGGACAAAAAGAAACGGAAGGGGCTTGGTGCTTTTGTGTCGGAATTGGGTGGCGAAGGAAATGACGACTCAGATTCTGATTCAGAGTCTGAATCAGACGAGGATGAAGAAGACGTAGAGGAGAAGGCGGAGGAACAGGTAGAAATATTGTCGAAGTTCTTCGCAAAAGTGTGTTTTTGGGTAGGGGAGTTAAAACACCCAGCAACTCAAGCTCCCTTTCGGAAGATTCCTAGACTCTTTCCCCTGGGGTGGTACCTCTTCCTTAGAACGCTTTAAGCTTCCTATGATGAATATTCTACAAGGATACATTACACAAGATAGAAGCTATGAGGAGCATTTGAAATAACAGTTTAATGGGCTGAGAGGATCCAATTGGCTTTTCACATGTATTGTAAGCCGATTTGTCCTTTGTTGCTTTGGATCGCGTTTCTCGTTCCAAATAACCGAGAAGTTTGTTCTTAGAGGTATAAATGATGCTAAGAGAATTTGTGGGTCATTTTAATTGACACTTGTTAGTTTTATCGTTCTTCTTGTTTGGATTTGCTATAAATCTTTTAAAATTGCCCTTTCTTTGAAGTGGCTAATAGTTCGGAAGAACACTTAGGGTCTCTCTGCCTTTTCTTAACGCTCACTCGTGAAGATTCCTTCTTACTCTATACTATACTATATACAACCTGTTTGTCACATTCTGATGTGATGTCAAATTGTTTTACCATCTAGCTGGAGGTTGCTAAGCAGCAAAGTGAGAGTGTAGGGGACAAAAGGAACGAGTCAACGGAAATTGACGAAAGCAAGGATACAGAGCAAGAAGCACGGGAGTCCCACAAAACCCTGTCCCTATATATGAGGAGTGTCCCACCGAATATTTCAAAGGCTGACATCGCTGCGGTGAGTAAGAATATATTTGCTTAACTTGTGAGAAGCAAAAGCCTATCGAGACCTGGGTATTGATTAAGGCATCTTAGTTCCATTCTGTCTTTGAATGTGGATCATCTAAGAAACAATTCACAAAGCGGGATGTTTCTGTTCCAAACCGGAGTAGATTTGTGTTCATCTAAGGTTAGGTCAGCATTTTGTGATTTACTTAGACGTGAACAAACGACAGTAAGTTACTAAATACTGAAAGGCTTAATTTCGCACAAAATAGGTTTTTCTCCAACTTCATGCAGAGGTTGGGCTCTTGTATTTGTTTTCTAATTTTTAAGACAGCTTTGAACAAAACTTGTGCTTTTGGAAGTGAATGTTATGCTTTTGAAGTGTATGGGGATTGTGGCTTCACCCTTTTAGGAGCAAAACTAAAACTCAGTTGAAGTTCAGTACAATTGTGATATTTTGACAATATCTTATTAAGCAGTTATGAAGTTGGTATTTGAATCTGTCAAGCACCACGACTCAAGCTAAAGTCAGATAAAATAATCTAAATCAATTCTGTCGCCTGATATGAAATATTGGTCAGATGTGTTGCGTGTGAATGATAGAAAATTTCCAGATATTTCCAAAACCTTACTTGAGGTAATAGGAAAACCCCTGTTTTAATCGAATTGGATTTGTCAGTTTCTCAACATTTTGGTGCGATAATCGTAAGAAATGCTCTTGAATTGGTTTTAGGATCACTCAAAAATTGTTTAATGTGAACTTTGGAATTTTTGATGTAAATAAAGGAGCAACTAAGAATTTTGGTGCATTTGCCCTTTTTTGTTCCTCTCCTATTCTTGTTTGATGTGAGAAAAGCAGTAAGTCTTGTTCTCTACCTGTAAATTTGATTGAAAAAACTTTTCATATTTCCAGGTATGCAAACGCTATCCAGGATACCTTCGAGTCGCTCTTTCTGATCCAAGTCCCGAGAGAGGGTTTGTGATTTCCGTTTTATGTTGATTCCCATTAATTCTTTTGGTTTCCGTTTTATGGCAATTCCTCTCGATTTTTTGTCTCTCTGCAGCCTTATCAGTCTGGAATGAACGGGGTCTGGAATAAACGGGGCGGGTGGAAATTTCTCAATTTCCAGTAAACAGGGGTAGATGGAAAATTTCCAAAATACTAATAAACGGGGTGAATGGGTAGCTTGTCTCTTTAAACTGAAAACAAAAGGAATATGATAGAGACACGAGTGTCTTTAAATAGGAACCAAAATATATTCAAAATTGTATAATTTCAATATTCAGTTCTAAATTATGTTTTAATTCTTCTTTTCGTCGATGGGCTACCGTACATTACGAAGAGCTTCGTTGAGTATTCCTTGCAGATTCTTAATACTCGTGGCTCGAAAAAAATAAACCGTGTATCAGGAATAAGGATTTCATGCTTTGATTTTTCTTCTAAAAATTAAAAAAGGGGGGGTGTTTATTCGTGACGCAAGTTTAGAAAATAAAAAATACAACGATAAATTCTCTTTACGTCCTTGCGGCTACAGTATCATTTAACAATAGAATTAGTTGTGGTGTTACGTCATCCAAAACTATCATGGTAATCACTGGGACTTGTTGATGATATCTTTTCGCGTATTTTCTTTACTCTAGCTGAAAAATTTACTTTTAAGATTACGGCTACTACTGCCAATAAGCTTTATTAATTGAAGATTGCTTTATTCTAGAACGGGATTTAGGTGCTGTGCAAGCACATTATTGATTAAATATGAAATTCTTTGGCTGGTATGCTCTATCCTGCATGCGGTAAAGCTCTATCTTTCTGCTTCTGATTTCTGCTCCTTTGATACTTAGCTTCTGTCGCCGTGGATGGGTAACTTTCGAAAACAGTATAAATATTAAAGACATTTGCTGGAACCTCAGTAATATTAGGGTGAGTTTTAGTATTTTTCCTTATGACAGGAAACTTCGTCCTAGTTGACATTTCTGTTGTATATATTTATATTTTTGACACCATTCCATCCCTCCCTATCACTCTATTGACATTAATACTAGCTGTTGCTCGCGCTTTCGATAAACTTTGGCGTTATCTCCTGATTCCATTACTATATGTGTGCGCGATGTTCATAAGTAGAAATTTTACAAGTGATTGCTCTTCTCATAGCAGTATACCCCTGATTGCTATTGCAAAAAAATTTTCAATAAGGTACAACGCAAGATCAAGTCTTATACCTGATGTTATTGCTGTCTGTGACAGAACAGATTGTTGCTAGAGGCAAAAGACGACTTGAGTACATCCTAATTTCAAGTGCTTCAAAGAGAAGCTAAATGAAATTGTATTGGCTTCATTGTAGAAAAAAGCATCTTTAAATTCATGTTCTTATTTTCAAGTTTTTAGGGACAAATTGAAAATTCCCCAACCTCTCATTGGTACTAACTTGATCAACCTTGTCTAATTTTGCCTCAAACACCCAGCTTCGTCAATGCAAAATGATTGCTTCATTTGCCAAAACTGTGCATACTTCTTCCTTCAGATCAAAGACTGTGAACTCATACCTGTTGTGAATCGAGACTTGCTGAAACGAATTCGCCCGATATCAGGCATCACTCTTTGCAATAAAGTCGTTCGCTTTGATATATATTTCTCAACAAAATTGATTAAAGCATTAGATGAAAAGATTGCATTATATTCGAAAGATGCAGATGACGAAGAAAAGGACCAGAGCTCAATGGATATTGAAGTAAGTCCTCGATCATTACTTAATTGAATGTTATTGTTATTATCAATTTCTTTACAGTCGGACTGAATGATAACTAATTAAATCATTCAATTTACAAAGTAAGAACAATTTGTAAAATAATTTAGAATAACATTTGTAGAAGCACATTGGATTTTTTTAATTGTATGAAATATATGTGGTAAGAACTTTATGTATAAAAAAGAATTGTAATTACGTCATTGAGGCATGTTAAGTATCCACCATTTGTCACACAATTCTTACAATACCTTCACCTTATCCGTCTTTTGTTTGAATTGCAATTCAAACAATCTAAGCAAGCCTTTTCAATGCTACTAGAAGATTCTTAAAAACATCTTGTTAGGATAACGAAGCTAACTTTTTATAAATTAATGTATTGATGTCATCATCAAGTAATGAAGCTAAAATTAGATGCACTGTGCAAAATAACGAAGCCAGCAATGTGCAAAATAACGAAGCCAGCACTTTGCAAAATAACGAAGCCAGCAATGTGCAGAGTAACGAAGCCAGCAATGTGCAAAATAACGAAGCCAGCACTGTGCAAGATAACGAAGCCATCACTGTGCAAAATAACGAAGCCAGCAATGTGCAAAATAACGAAGCCAGCACTGTGCAAAATAACGAAGCCAGCACTTTGCAAAACTACGAAGCCAGCACTGTACAAAATAACGAAGCCAGCACTGTGCAAGATAACGAAGCCATCACTGTGCAAAATAACGAAGCCAGCAATGTGCAAAATAACGAAGCCAGCACTGTGCAAAATAACGAAGCCAGCACTTTGCAAAACAACGAAGCCAGCACTGTACAAAATAACGAAGCCAGCAATGTGCAAAATAACGAAGCCAGCAATGTGCAAAATAACGAAGCCAGCAATGTGCAAAATAACGGAGCCAGCAATTTGCAAAATAACGAAGCCAGCAATGTGCAAAATAACGAAGCCAGGAATGTGCAAAATAACGAAGCCAGCAATTTGCAAAATAACGAAGCCAGCTGTGTGCAAAATAAGCGAAGCCAGCAATGTGCAAAATAACGAAAACATTGCCTAAAATAACGAAGCTAACATTATGCAAAGTATATAAAACAACAAAACCAACATTATGTGAAATAACTAAATTACCATAGTATATATAATATAATGAAGGTAACGTGATATAAGATGACGAAGCTTATATGGTATTTAAAATGAGGCTGAGTCACCATATTTTAAAAATGCCTGTACCTAGCACCATTTCTTGTTGTTTATGGTTATGTTCCAATGCCTTTGGTAGTTATTCTCTATATGAACCATTGTGTTATGCAATTATTTCAAGGAGCAAGAAAAGGAGGAAAATGGCGAAGGTAAAGAGCACAGTGCGGAGCCAGGGGAAGTTGACGCGCGAAAGTCCAAAACCGTAGATCGACCATTACCAGTCGAAAATCCGCTGCTAACAGAGCTTCCAGAGGTAGTTAAAGAGCTTGAAGCTGTTGATCATGTGTCTGCTGATGCAAAGGACGGTGGAGATCTAAAGCAAGAAGATCTTGACTTTGCCTGCGATGAGCAACTGATAAAGGTAACAACCAGTGTTATGGTTTCTGCGTTGCATGCAGTTTCAAGCGCTTATCTTGTCTTTGTATTGCGTTCTAGCTGGATATGTTAATTACTTTAGACTAAATTGTTTTAAAGAGAGTTCTAAAGTGCTGAAGTAACAAAAATCTATTTTTGAAATTTTTTTAATTTTGATCAAATAACGTGAAAGGGCACCAAGGAATGCCTTTGAATTTGCTTAATGTGTTACAAATTGGCTAACGTATGGCTGGAAGCACATTCTCTTTTCCCATCCAACAGAATAACAGTAACCCGTTAAGAAATTTCACATCTTTTATTTGCCACATCTCACCTAATTATTAACATAATCAACTGTTTTTCTTTATTTCATGTTATTTCATGTTCTTGTATTAGGTTAGATTGTCAAAAGTAAAAAGTTAAAAAAAATGAAATTTTTTTGATGTCACACTTCAAAACGAATAGAGGTAGGTTTTAGGTCGTCAGGGAAAGCAGGCGTTTCGACAAAGCCTCTTTACAGATTTAAAGACGAAAGTAATGCCCAACAGTCACAGTTTACCCCTCTGAAAAATGTTCTGCAGAATCAGAAGAGGTTTTTATCGGTGCCCTTTTCCGTACCATATGAATTTTACTGGAAATCCAATGTAGAAACTCTGAATGGACAATACACGATGGCGCCATAAAAATAAAGTTGTTACATAGAATCTGAAACACACCATGGAATAACTCTAATTGTTTAAATGAGCCAAAACTGTTGCAAATCGGCTTCGTCGTGAAAAGAAAACACCAAGTTAACCTATGGGTAACTTGTGTTTTATCTTGGTTCACAGATTTTCGAACGAATTTGATTAGGAATCGAGTCTGTGATCATGTGGCTTCACCTTAGCTAGTTTGTAATGGAATCAACTTTCTTTTTCATGTTTATGATTTTTTATGATGTCTTTCGTGTTCTATGGTCTATTTTCACTATTTGTGTAATTTTTTAAAATTTTATCATCGAGCCACTCTATTTCGTTGCCGTTGATATTTTTGTCAAGGATAAATCTATAAAAAGCCATAACCGAAAGAAAGCTTAAACAACATGAGCTGCAGTTTAAATTAGGGAAGGAGAAATCTTTGGTTTGCCTATTGAATGTCCTGCTTGATAGCAGGCAGGCAACTTTCCCTTTAACCCCTACGCCCGAAAGCCCCCCGAAAGCGGCAACGTTCTACCCCCTCCCCCAATCATCATCCAAAAACTGAATTGCATTCGCTCTATTAAAAATAATCATGCATTTACGAAGTGATAAATGACATGCTTTTACAACGTGAAGATGATATCGTTGTGTTTTCCAACCGAGTATATACCGCAACCGTGAATGGTGTAATTCTACGACTGTAACTGCCTTTGGCGAAGGTTTCGACTCCAAGTGTTGAATTCGAGCCGTTTGACATTTTGTGGCCTTTTGGTCTGCTGCACGTACCACAGTACTCAAAATTTGGCTTTTTAATTAATCGTAAATTTACCAAGGGTATGCATAATTGATTGTCCAAAATCCAGTCCCCGGTGTTACTTTCCAATTGCACTAGAGGAGGCATACCCTACCCAGCTTAAAGGATTCTCTGCAAGAATTAAACCTTGCACTCAGGCTCTGACCATTTATATCTTGTTTTGTTCGGTTAACCTTGAGCTCAAGAGAGCATTTTTATAATTGATGATGATTGGTTTTTTGGTATTAAGGGTATCTTGTGTATGCACATTTTATTCTTTGAAAGTAAACTTCTTAGGTGAAGTCAATCGACTCATTAAACACAAAAGAGTAGTCAGGTGCCTTAGGAACAGAATCAAGACATTCCGCTACAGTAAAAACCCGCGTATAAGAACCTGGATTTGAAGAACCTGTTAGGCCAAAATTTCAAATTTAGGCCTCCTCCACATAAGAACCTTTTCAGGCCAAAATTTAGGTTGTTACCAGAGCTGCTGTAAAGGTTTCTAGGTCGAAGCTGTCGTTCGTGTCAAAAAATATCGTACAGTTTATTATTTGTCTAATAATAATGAAGAAAATTTTGGATTGTTTACTTTATCTTGCAATTTTTATCAATTAAACCCCTTCCATTAAGCGTACTAGATGCTACGATATGTAGATAATTTTTCCCTAACCATTAATGACTATATTTTTCTTTGGATCCTTGTGACATTTAAATAATTATTTTGCAGACACTTGACAAGCTGCTGATGTATTTGCGAGTTGTCCATTCGGTTGATTATTATAACGGGACAGATTACCCATACGAAGATGAAATGCCAAATCGATGTGGCATTCTTCACGTTCGAGGAGATTTGCCTGAAAAAGCAACTAATTCGGAAGGTATTCTTCTCTTTTATTTGATATAGCGCTAGTACCGTGGTTTTTTCAGATTCTTACAAGAAAACTTTTTCTGAAATTAAAGTCAAGGAACGGGAAGGAAAATATAAATACAAGAATGAAAACAAGATTCGTATTAGTTTTCGTTCTTGTTAGTCTTTATTTTCATTTTTTCATAGCAAGGAAACGTTTTAAACACACTCTCAAGTATATTTATTTCGACAATCTTTTTTTTTTAATTTTCGAATTCCCTCTTTTGCTTTTTCGGCTTTGCTTGAATTGCTTCGACATCTACAATAATCACATAAACGCCCCGCTCGAATAAACGCTTCTTTAGATGCTCAAAAATTAACTAAACGCCCGGGCGCTTATTCGAAGATTTACGGTGAAAAGAACATTTCACTATTTTCTTGCGAAATCTTTGCTGGTGTATTTTTGCACCGAATGTTTTTGTTTTGATTGTGTAGATGTTTCTATTCTTTGTAGTGGCAGAATGGAAAGCGAGCGTGGAACAAAAATTAGGCCATTTTTTGGAAAGTGTAGAAGAACGTCTAAACGATGAGGAAATTCAGAAGCTTGGAAAGAAAAACTCGAAAGAATATCCTTTCATTTATGTACTACATTTTACTCACTTTACATTCATGTTCATTATATTTCATTGCATACAACCAACAACAACTAATTCAATACATAATGCACTAAAAAAGCAAATAGAACTCGTACATAGATAATTCTTGAAGAACGAGCTCTTTCGAGTAAGAAAACAAGCTTGATATATTTGCTTATAAAAGGAATATAAGCAGTTGCACTGCTTATTGTTATTGAAATGCCATTAAACTTTGTATCGGATAGACTCTTTTTTCCATTAAAATAAACAGTGTTCAGTTGGAAATTAAAAAGCAGTTCACAGTTTAGGATTCAAATGTTCTTCAGCTTTAAGAAATACAATAGACAGTCGTTGTCATGAGATTATGATGACTGTACAGCCATGAAGGTTTGATTTAAAATACCTTTCCGTAACTGACATGAAGGAAGTTTGCATTGCATAATTGTCCCGTCCATCTGCCTTTAAGTAAGGGGCGGACACTTCGTCAAATATTGGGGGCAAGCCTTTTGTTTTCATAAAATGACGCCGCATTTCCACGACAGCCCCTCCCACCGCCCCCCCTCCCCCAGGTGTCCGCCACTGCTTTAAGTGATAACAGTTTGGAAATCAACATAATCCCGCCTTTATCTTGTCTTTAGTGTTCCTTTCCACGCATTTTGCTTTGCAAAGTAAAAATTTTTTCGTTCTAATTTCTTGTTGTCCCCTATGTCGAATCAGTTGGAAACACGACCAGGTCACTCCTTCTTATATGCCATACCTACGTATGCAAAAACCGAACTGCATCTATTCGAACCTTATTGCGGAACCAAAGCACATTATAATTACCAAAGCACATTATAATTACCAAAGCACATTTCTTTATAAATTTTTGAATCGTAGAACGACGATAAACATTTTTATTATCGGACCAATATTTTAGATTGGTTTTGCAAATTTTCCTTAACTGTTCACAAGGAAGTTGAGAATTTCATCAGTGCAAATACGCAAGAGCTAGCGAAAGAGAAATGGCTGTGTCCATTAAGTGGGAAAAAGTTCAGGGCAAAAGACTTTGTTGTGAAACATATACACAACAAACATGGCGATAAGCTTGAGGCGGTCCGACTGGAGGTGTGTATTTTCAACTTAACCTATTATATACCATTTTACCCCAATCTTATTTTTATGTCATAGGGCTAGGCTGAGTATTGCTATTGTCATAGAGTTACCCTGTGTGTCAGAGTCTCTATTATTTAGTCTCAGAAATTTTTTTTGAGCGAGGATTGGAGCTACCAGCCACCACAGCCTCCTACAATACTTTATCCCCAGGTCCTTGAGGCTCTGGTACCCAGGATATGCTATAGCCTACCGTCGCCTGCAAGTGAAGTAGACACAGGAGTACACTGAAAATACCAGATATTTCTGCCCATCAACACAGAATATAGCCTGCGTCCAGACTTTAATTACCGTTGCGAAGGAGAGCCAATACGGAACTTGTAAAGTTTGCGAATTAGCAGCCACTTTTGAGTTCTGAGACCTTGCGCAATAAATCTCGTATTTGTCTAAGTATTATCTTTTAGCCAATCAGTATCTGGTTTGAGATTCTAAGGACCCAATCAAATTCAAGCACAATGATCGCGTGCTGATAAATCCGCAAGATACAAAACTACACCATCTTTCTGGAAATAGGAAAAACAACGGCCTTATTTTCCTTGCTCAGGCCCAGTCAACGGATATAACAACTGAGGGCTCGACTTTGCTTCCTCAGGCCCTGTCAACGGATATAACAACTGAGGGCTCGACTTTGCTTCTTCAGGCCCTGTTAACGGATATAACAACTGAGGGCTCAACTTTGCTTCCTCAGGCCCTGTTAACGGATATAAAAACTGAGGGCTCGACTTTGCTTCCTCAGGCCCTGTTAACGGATATAACAACTGAGGGCTCAACTTTGCTTCCTCAGGCCCTGTTAACGGATATAACAACTGAGGGCTCGACTTTGCTTCTTCAGGCCCTGTTAACGGATATAACAACTGAGGGCTCAACTTTGCTTCCTCAGGCCCTGTTAACGGATATAACAACTGAGGGCTCGACTTTGCTTCCTCAGGCCCTGTTAACGGATATAACAACTGAGGGCTCAACTTTGCTTTTACACTGGTCATGATCACGATATTGGAAATTTTTTATAGAACGTTTGTCAGGAAGGACGTGGAGGGGAACAACTTTTTGGATTCGAACGATCCTCCTTGAATGACGGAGATGTCTTATCTTGTTCCTCAACAGCAATGTCCTTCAAATCTTTGATGGTCGCCTTTAGCCAGGAAGGTCTTCCAACCCAAGGCCGATTGCACCTGCAACTTTCCTGTACTTTGATAGAAATTCTCATTCACTTCAACTAGGCCTTTCAATTTTTTCCTTTTCTTCAATACATCGACGCAGTTTCTGTAAAGGGGTTTCGAAAATGGAACCAAAAATTGAAAATCAAGGCACAAAAAATGTCTGCTTTTGGATATTATCCGTGATGCTTCGTGTTTGCGGGGTCAACTTATTGCGCAAGATTGAACTCCTCTTTGCAGGAGAGCATTTGCTCTCAGAATTTTGTAACGGGTGCTAATTCGCAGACTTTACAAGTTCCGTCCTGGCTCTCCTTCGCAACGGAAAGTAAAGTTTGCACGCAGGCTACACAGAATAGATCCACCAACAAATCAGCTGTCTGTAAAAAGTCCGCAGCTGAAAATGTCAGGAAATTTACAGGTGTGGTCCGCAGCAAAGCGAGCTGCTACATGCCCACTTGATAAGGGGGACTCATGTGTAACTGAGGAAAGAAACTTTAGCCCTGACTGTGTACTGAATGCATTCCCAAAAATATTTGAGAAATTGATGAAAAGAGGGTTTAAGTCGCACCTTGATAGGTCCCTTTCTATTTTATTTTCAGATTATAGAAAATTATATAACACACAACATGTTTTGATAAGACTAATTGAAGAGTATTGATCTGAACTGGATTACGACTATATTGTGGGTGCAGTTTTGATAGACTGATCCAAAGTGTTTTGTTGTTTACCTCACGATCTGCTAATTGCAAAGCTCTCTACATATGGTTTTGGTGAAAGCTCTTTAGCGCGGATCTAATTCTACCTTAAAGGACGTCAGCAAAATGTTACAATGAATAATACGTGCAGCAATTTTCGAAATATAGTTTCTGGTGTTCCCCAAGGGTCTATATCAGGGCTCGATTCTTTTTAATTTTTACATAAACGACCTTCTTCTGTTTGTTAAGAAAGCAGCAGTCTCAGCTATGCAGGTAACAATACGTCTATGTGTTTCTCTAATAGTCCTTTCATGGTCCGCCTGGAGATGTGTATTTTCCACTTAAGCTATTGGTCCGGTTCACATGTAACTTTAAGTCCGGTTAGCATTTATCAATGATGTGTGCGGTTAATGTTTATACGTATGCGTTTACTCTGGATTCTTCACCAAAGCTCGACGACTATGGTTTTGAACTGTGGCTTTTCTATTACCCGAACCTTTTTGGCCTGATGCTCACAGAATCATGATTTTTGCTTGAATGGCGCACTTACTCGTGGCCTACACCTGTCCATTAAATTGGACAGCTATTTTTGTTTTGGCTTGTTGCTGTGTTCAGCGGCGGTTCTAATAAAGAAACCCCGCTGAGTTTAAAATTATAAGCCATATTATCCCATCCTTTTTTTGTGCCAAAGGACTAGGCCGAGCATTGCTTTAGCCTACCAACTTCTGAAAGTTGACTAGACAGGAGTACAGTGAAAATCCCGGATAATTCTGACCACCAACATGGAAAAAGTCAACCATCAGATCAGCTTAATGCAAATAGTCCGCAGCTGTAAATGTGAGGAAATCTCCTGCTGTCCGCAGCAAATTGAGCTGCTATATGCCAACCTTTTTTGTTGCTATTTAAAATTTTTAACTACAACTGAAGCTACCTAAACACATGCCACTCATTATGGTGAAGGACACAAGGTCATCTAGTCTCCATTATGAGTGATATTTACGATTTTCAATCAGGCCAGTAGCCAAGGGGTGACATAGGGTGGCAATGCCACCCCTGTAGCAAAAGAATACCAGCCTATTGCCACCCCGAGAACTTTGTCTCTTGATTATTTTAATGAGCTTTTTCATCATTTTCATTGGATTGTCATGACAATTTGAGTCAAGCTAATACTGATTGAGGGAAAATTGTTTATTGGGGGCTCTTATTACCCGTGCAGGGCATAAATAGTGCTTTGCATTCAAGGAAATTTTGCTGCTAAACAGGAACCTGACGCTACTTTGGCAATTATTTATGTTTTGATAAGACTAACTGAGGACTGGAGATCTAAACTAGATTACGACCATATTGTGGGTTCAGTTTTGATAGACATATTCAAAGTGTTTTGTTGTATACCTCACTCTTCCTACATATGGTTTTGGTGAAAGCTCTTCAGCGCGGATCTAATTCTACCTTAAAGGACGTCAGCAAAATGTTACAATGAATAATACGTGCAGCAATTTTCGAAATATAGTTTCTGGTGTTCCCCAAGGGTCTATATCAGGGCTCGATTCTTTTTAATTTCTAAATAAACGACCTTCTTCTGTTTGTTAAAAAAGTCTTAACTATGCATGTGACAATACGTTGGTATATTTCTCTGATACATTACCAGATCTTTAAATATTTTAAATAATCAAATTGAAAGGCCACGGCATATAATAAAAAACTGTTATCAACTATCACATCATCATCATATATGATCTTGATCACACCTGGTCTGTTGCTCAGTCTGTGGCTATTGGGGGGTGGTTGATTGTTTGTGGAATTTAGAATGTATTAGTTTTTGGAATGTGTTTCAATCTTCGTAAAAATCTACATTTTGGAATTCTTCACAATTTGTTATCACTCTTTTCGAAATGTATTAGTTTCTTTTTATTTTATAATTAATAAACACATATTGAACAAACTATTGAACACTCAGTCTGAGAAATCCTAGCATTTTTGGGCGTCTTGTTGGGCATTGTTGGCCCTAGAGGTGGTCAAATCAGCGCAACAATTCATCCAACATTTGTCAAATTATCAATAACAACAACCACGGGTTTACGTCATTCACTCCAGCTTCTGTTGGAAACCGAACGTGGCGACTCAATAGCAAGCAAACGACGGACAACATCAGTGTCTTTAAGTCTCTTTGGAATTCTAGATGATAGCAAAGAAGATAGTATTTGTATTTGTTTCTACCTAGCATCCAGAGGTAGTTTTTAGGACACCGAAAAGCTTATGCTGATCGGGCAGTGTCCTGGTCCTTCCTCTCGATGTGACCACACCTCGTTATTCCTACTCATGGAATTACAGATAGCTGGCGACTATCCTCATACTGGGTGAAAGTTTGGTCATGCCAGGGACTCGAACCACAGACTCTTGGATCTGTAGTCAGCGCCCCTAGCAAACTGAGTTGAGCATGACAAGGCCAACATATTGATAAAGAGGAGCCTCCTTTCAAATTCTCCTCCATCGCGTTGAGAGTTTTCATCTAAAATATCATAATAGCAGTCTTTATTCTCATCTTCGTCGGACCTAAGCTGAATCGATTCATAAAGCCTCTTTTTTCTTGATGTTAGTTTCCATTTTTCGTAAACTGCATTTGCAACTTCCTGACCAGAACATAACAAATTGAAGAGTGGCGGGCTTTACCTTACTGCGCTTCCGCGAGCATGATTTTGTTGGAAAGAGGGTCCAAAGCATCCCAACGTTATCAAACAACATCTAACTGTGTTTCTTCTGGTGAATGATGGCGCAGATTTTTTATTTTCTTTGCTTGGATCAAAATACTTCGTTAACATCTTGTTGCATGAAATAATGCGATTTGCCATTTCAGGTGGAATTTTTCAATAACTACCTAGCTGATCCAAAAAGACCACACATCCCAGAGTCAAGTCCAAGTAGACAAGGTGGAGGCGCACAGTCCGGTCAAAGTAGTTACCAGCAATCGACTGGGCACCAGTTGGGATGGAATCCTCGAGGACCTGTCATGATGTATGGGGGTAAGTGCAGTAACTAATCTAGTTATTGAGCCTTTGATTGGTTATTGGGTCATCAAAGCTGAAATGAGAGTTTTTCCTGTAAAATTTACTTGTCAATGGTACCAATCATATTGTAGCAAACCATCAAAGATATCACCCATATTTTTTTCCGGAATGCCCTCACATTGCGGTTTTTAGTACCAAATTCCCTTGCGTGGTAAAGTCCTTGCATGGTCGCACCCTTGCATCATCACGTCTCTGCATGGTCGCATCCATGTATTGGCACGTCCTTGCATGATCGCACCCTTGCATCATCACGTCTCTGCATGGTCACATCCATGTATTGGCACGTCCTTGCATGGTCGCACCCTTGCATCATCACGTCTCTGCATGGTCACATCCATGTATTGGCACGTCCTTGCATGGTCGCACCCTTGCATCATCACGTCTCTGCATGGTCACATCCATGTATTGGCACGTCCTTGCATGGTCGCACCCTTGCATCATCACGTCTCTGCATGGTCACATCCATGTATTGGCACGTCCTTGCATGGTCGTACCCTTGTATTATCACGTCAACCCTCACATCCTTGCATTGTCACATCCATGCATGGGCACGTCCTTGCATGGTCGCACCCTTGCATCATCACGTCTCTGCATGGTCACATCCATGTATTGGCACGTCCTTGCATGGTCGCACCCTTGCATCATCACGTCAACCCTCACGTCCCTGCATGGTCGCATCCATGCATTAGAACGTCCTTGCATGGTCGCATCCTTGCATCATCACATCAACCCTCACGTCTTTGGATGGTAATGTGTGTGCTGCTCTAATTCTAGCTATTTTCAATAACAAGTTGCAACTATCATTTGTAAGGAGATGACAGGGTTGGTTCTGTACTGGTTTGTGGACAGTCACTGCAGCCAAAAGGAACATTTTCCACCATTCAATTTCACTCTGGCTAGCGATAGGATTATGTATTACATGCATCTCGATAAATAAGCTTGCAGCTCTCTACAAACTGCAAAGCAAGGAGGCATTATCCTTGTTAACTATTCCACGGCATTCTTTCATGCAGAAAATCTCGTCGCATCAAGATAAGAGTCTGAAATCTCGTTTTGCCAACATAAAATCATCTTTTCTGTATATTGTAATTGTTTTAACCCCCGTCCTAGGAAAGATAAAATTGTTTGGGGGTCTTATTACATTAGACACATCTCAAATCTCGCTATAGCAACATACAATCAATTTGATCACCCTTTTGCATCAATGTTTACCATCCAGTGTTTAAATCCGTATCCGAGCAAATGAATTGAAGCCCGAACAGGTGTATGGAGTTTATACTTGCTCAGCCAAACCGCAAAATAAACATCCCAGAGCCTATTGATTCTTTACATAGCTTCTTGAACAAAAGAAACTTTAAAATATTCTGCTTCTTCTGCATTCCATAATTTTCAATTGAAACTTTGTTTGCAACGGCCTTTCTCGCCACGGCCCTTCCTGCCACGGCCCTTCCTGTCACGGCTTTTCTTGCAACGGCCTTTCTTGTAACGGCTTTTCTTGCCACGGCTTTTCTTGCAACGGCCTTTCTTGTCACGGCCTTTTTTGCCACGGGCTTTGCAAAAGTAACGAAGCTCATCCGTCCAAGGTTTATCAACTCTGTTTTTATTTTTAGGGTTTCGAAACAAATACGTAAAATTTTTCGTCTTTCCCGCCCACCTTATCCGACAATATAAAGTAGCAATTGGTTTTGTATATTTTTCATCCTCGGGTTATTTGCTTTTTTAGGCCCACGTGTTCCCTTAACACCGCCTAATTATGGAGGAAACTTTGCTGGTGGCCCTGACGTCTACGGAAGGGGAGGAACATACCCCTCTAAAGTTAGCAGGTAAATTTTATATTAATTGTATGGGGTATCTCTAGAGAGCTAGTCACGCATAGATGTCAATTAACTGGTTAACGATTCTGGGCTAAGGAGAAATTAATTTCATTTATTTATGGAATTGTAAGAAATAAAGGACGCCCAAAAAATCTGCTAAAATTTTGCAACAAAAATGTTGTCAGTGTATTGAACAAAATTCCCAGATCAATCTTTTGGTTTTTGTCTTTCTTGACAACGCTATACCCAATCAGATCGTTCGGTTTCCCCTGTACTCGAAAACCGCAGTCTTACTATATTACTTCAAAATAGGTAAGGAGGGTGTCTTAAAATGATAAACTTCAGATTTTTTGTTTGATTAAGAGAAACGATTTTCAAGAGAAAAGGTCCACAATACATCCACGTCGAAAACATCCACAACAGTCTAGAATTTGCAGGAAAAGTTCTCAAATATTCTAATTTCATGTTGATTTTTATTGATGTGATAAAGCCTAGGATCTTTTGTTTTATTTCATTGGTAGGAGGGCCAATGTTATATTCAACTTGATCCAAACTGACCCAATTCGTTCCAAAGTTCGGCTCCCCTAAATGAAAAGCTATTGGTCCCAAAAATTTCTTCAGCAGAGGAAGTTTCAAATCCAGTTTGGGATTCCGCTATTCTCTATTGCATCGTTTTAGTATCTGCAGTCGACAACAAGATTACAATCCCCTTCTGATCTACTTGTACCGTTTCTCGAGTTTAGGGATAATTTATCTGAAACTTAGAAATATAGACTAGGGTCATCGCTGAATGCCCATTAACATTAGGACTGGCCATTCCTAAACTGCGTGGTACTTTCCACAAAACTTAGGGATGAATTACGGACAATTTATTGACAGTCTCGGGACAATTGCTCGATAAAAAACTTATCTGTGTAGAGCAATACAGACGAATAATTCGGGTTAAGTTACTTTCTCTTTTCAAAAATCGATGTCTCCAATGCATTTCCGTTTCCGTTTCTTAATGACGTCATGGTGACGTCATAACAATATATTTTTTTGCAAAAGCTTCCTAAATTGATATTAATTAGGCCTCCAATAAGCAATATTGGGTGAAAATGTATGGCGAGGCACATAATCGATGTTTAGCTCATCAGACGTCACAATTTATTATGTCATTCAATGGTGATGACGTCATGACGTTTCTGATAAATCCGCTGCTAGTGTTGATTTTTTCCCTACAATATATGTTGAAAATATTCACTGAATCATTCCTCTGAATGACTGAATAACTGAATGAATGAATGAATGAATGAATGAATGAATGAATGAATGAATGAATGAATGAATGAATGAATGAATGAATGAATGAATGAATAAATAAATACATAAATGAATAAATACACAAATGAATATGATGAATGATTCAACAAATGAATCATGCCCGGGAGCTTAACCATCCCTCGCGCAAATGACATCTTCTATTAAAGATTTGTGACCTCGTTTTTAAAATGTGCTTTGTTGTTGTCATTGATAGAGAGAGTCCTTGGTTCTTGGCATCTTTAGCCTTATTATAGAATGTGATGCAAAACACAAGCTCAAAGCCACAAACATTACTCACGAAATGCATGTCAAATTGATATTAGAAACAAAAACTTAGTGCAAAGTCCAAGGGGAGTGTCGTTCGCTCGCTTTCTTGGGCTTACAAAAGAACGTGGATGGATTGAAGGTGAATCAAAGTATCTTAAAGCATAGAAAAGATTAGAAAAGAATCTGAGAGAGATTTCATCAAGTGCGGCGCAGAAAAGTAAAGACATCACGAAGATAACCAGCATTCTACCCGCAGAATAAATTAACTCGTCCTCAAACTGCACACACATTTGAATGAGAAGGTGTCATTTCTGGAAAAAAAGGAGGGGGAATTCTCTAAAACATTGTAAACAAATGTTGTTCTTCCTGAAGTTCATCGCGAAAAGCTACTGAAATGTGACGGAGATTGACTAAGATCTTATCAAGGCGTTTCTTGAAGAAAGACTTTCACCAAATCCGAAAAAGAGTATCTGAGAACCTTTACAGCAAGCTTCCATAGAGACGTTTACACCTGGAAACAAAGCCATCAAGACCGCAGTGGAACAAATAGAATCAGATTGTTAAGGAACATTGAGATCTGTTTGATAGAGTGGCAATAACTGCCAGAAGGCAAAGGCATATTGATATGAAGGACGTCATCAGCAACTTTGAACTCTCCATAACGGTATAGACCAGGCGGAGAATAGGGGAATGATCACTCGAGGGTGAAATTGATGGGACCCAAGTGCTCTTGGTCAATTCGAGGGTGCTAATTTCGAAAATCGATGTTGTACAGGGCTTTTGGGGGTCATCAGCCTCTTTTTCATGTTTGAAGTCTCGTTTTTGCGTATATGAAAGTGATCAATGAAAAAACAGTTTAAATGGAAAAAAGTTAAAGTATTAAAGTTAATTAAGCATATTTCTTGCGCATAAATGGTTAAAATTGAATTATTGTCTGTTAAGGGGGGCCAAAAGCCTCGTTTTCACGAGAAAATTGCGTAATCTTAAAATTTTTATACTTAAATAAACATCTAAAAAGCTTAATACATCTTTTGTTGAGACTAATTTTTTATTGTCGTCCGAAGGAACTATGCAGCGCTTTCAATTACCAACTGATAAATGACACTATGAAAAAACAACCGGATCATCTAAACGTTTCAAAGTTCCTCAAGATCGTCTTCTGAGTCATTGCACATGACACTCTAAGCGTAAAGCTCTTTTTTACTCTGACAATAGAATTCTCATTCACCCCAACCATCATGATCTATCTATTAGGAAGCCCAACTGAACCATCAAACCACCTGGAAAATCATAAAGATTTAGTTTGCATGCAGAATATAAAGCCTTGTGTTTGCTTCACATGGCGGCAGAAGACTGAGATTTATGATTTCTTAATGTTTTCCGAACTTCTGCATAAGCAATATGCTGTTGACATATTGAATAATTCCCATCAAGCGAGTCAAACTTTGCCGAACATTGAGGAGTTTGGTTGGCAAAAGTATAACGAAACAGGTGCATACATTGCTAAAGCCAATTTAAAGCCAATAGTACCAAAGAAATATCAGAGTTGGTCACATCTGGTTGCAAAGATACACCAATTCAACTTACAGTTGCAAAGAATACAGATCTTGTTTTGGAATTTCTTCAAACTTCATTGTACGAATTCAATAAGCTCAGATTTGGTTTTGTCACCATAATTTTAGGCTGGATACAATTTTCATATTGTTTGTGCTTGTATTTTAGATTTTTCGGGAAAATGAAGTTTGATAACTTGTAAGGGATTTGACGGCAAAAATCATTCCGGGTGAAACTTTCCCTCCTAATATCCAATCACGGTCAAGCAACATCCGTGAGCAATAACATAATGAAATCTTCCAAGTAGACTAAAATTCTTGCTCTCGATCCGAATCTATGGTAAAAGATTTAGTCCAAAAGAATTTGAGGAATTTGTCAGAATGAGGCTGTAAGTTGAATTGGTATATAAGAGATTATGTTGCACAAAAATGTGCCATTGCGTTAATTGCGAGAATACAGATTCTGAAATGCAATATCAATGACGAGGAAGACAAAACAGACGATTAAACTAGAGACTGCTGAGTTCTTGTTCTTAATTTGTAATTGTTAAAGTTTGTTTGCCATTCAGAGTTCATAATTGTTTTGTTACTATCTTATCTATCTGACGTCACTGTGACGTCACATTACCAAAGAAAATTGAACTATTTTATTTTAAATCTTCTTTATGTATATTATATCAATTTTACAGTTTAGATTGCATGATAGTTCTTCAAAAGATGATTTGCCTCTTACTGTTTCGGAGAAAGATATAGTGAATGAAGTCACACCTTATACCTATGAGGTCATGCTGCCGTCATTAAGAATTTGACCTGGAGACATCGATTTTTAATTTCTACGATAAAAGTTGAGTCAGGCTATTTTGAATTGGAAGAATTAGCATAATGTGAGAACGGGATTCGTATTCTAGGCAATAGGACCCGGACTGGTAGACGAAAATGTTTCTTGACAATGATATTTACTGTGACACTGAAACAAATCGTACCATTGCCGTGACGCCTTGCTTTTAAAATCATCTTTATTTTAATGAAGATACGACAACTTTTCAGTATGGAAAGGGTCCTAAAGAGAAATTTCATGCATGATAGTTCTTCAAAAGATGATTTGCCTCTTACTGTTTCGGAGAAAGATATAGTGAATGAAGTCACACCTTATACCTATGAGGTCATGCTGCCGTCATTAAGAATTTGACCTGGAGACATCGATTTTTAATTTCTACGATAAAAGTTGAGTCAGGCTATTTTGAATTGGAAGAATTAGCATAATGTGAGAACGGGATTCGTATTCTAGGCAATAGGACCCGGACTGGTAGACGAAAATGTTTCTTGACAATGATATTTACTGTGACACTGAAACAAATCGTACCATTGCCGTGACGCCTTGCTTTTAAAATCATCTTTATTTTAATGAAGATACGACAACTTTTCAGTATGGAAAGGGTCCTAAAGAGAAATTTCATGCATGATAGTTCTTCAAAAGATGATTTGCCTCTTACTGTTTCGGAGAAAGATATAGTGAATGAAGTCACACCTTATACCTATGAGGTCATGCTGCCGTCATTAAGAATTTGACCTGGAGACATCGATTTTTAATTTCTACGATAAAAGTTGAGTCAGGCTATTTTGAATTGGAAGAATTAGCATAATGTGAGAACGGGATTCGTATTCTAGGCAATAGGACCCGGACTGATAGATGAAAATGTTTCTTGACAATGATATTAAAGTGGCACTGAAACAAATCGTACCATTGCCGTGACGCCTTGCTTTTAAAATCATCTTTATTTTAATGAAGATACGACAACTTTTCAGTGTAGAAAGGGTCCTAAAGAGAAATTTCTTCTGCTTTCATCATTTTGTATTTAGAAACGTCATTTTTTAAGAGGATCCTCGGGATCCTACTCATTTATTCATAAGGTCGGCGTTTGTAAGACCATGAATTTTAGATTTCATTGTATCAGATTTGCAATCATTTTTGTTCATTCAAGACAATCTTAATACACTGTCTGCCTATTTGATCCCCAGCATCTGATAGGCTACCCGATTTTCCCTCATCATCGAGCTAAGCCAGTTATACTCTCCGGGAGTTTGAAATCGACCTTTATTTTCCGTCGATTGTGAACGCAAATGGAAATCTGCAACCTCATTAGGTTTTCCAGTATATCAAATATCCCTTATGCGATCTGTGATATTTTTGCACTTACAGAAAGCCAGCCTGTAAACATGTTTTCCAAATCACGGCGTTTAGCTTTGTGGCTGTTCATCTTTGAAACTCATGCCATCAAATCTTTGTTGTTTTAGGAACGCGATGATGCCAAGAGACTCGAGAAAACCCGTTCATTACAAAGATCTAGATGCACCAGATGATATGGACTTTTTTTAAAACAAAAGGAATCGTGAAGATTCTTTACAGTATGTTAATTTTTGGCATTCTCATCTCCAGCTAAAAAATAGTTTATTATCGAAGCCTGCATGCCTGTTCAATAGAATCCAACAATCTGATAGAGAAACAGCCCTTTGGCTTGCCAGTCAGAGACAATGACTTTGGCAGTACATTGATGTACCACTGATTTTCTTCCTTGGTCATTTGAATATCGAAATCGTAAGATTCATTTGTCTATTCGATTAAAGTTTCAGTCTTTTTGTATACAATGTGAGCGTTTATCTTTGCCCGTTAAGTTGCTTACCTTGTGTTTATTACATAATGAATTCTCTGAAAGTTTTTTTCTTGGTATAACCTTGATGGTAAGTTTGATAAAGGAGGCGGTTTTTGGATTCAAATTGAGTTTTGCTAGCCTTGTATTTAGATAGGTTATTTCTTGGGAAGAATTTATCTTCAAATTTCCTGCCAATTGAATAAGTTGAAACGGATAAAAACTTTGGGCATGCTGAAAATTGTCCAAAATTTGAAATGGCGGAATTCTCCGAAATGTCCCATTTTTAAGTCGTGATTCCTTTGTTGAAGGGGACATCGATGTTTTAAGACATCGTTTTTCACCAAAATCTCCTATTGCCTCCCTGTTTATTGGGCATGAACAGTGGCAAAATGCTTCTAAAATGGTAGATCTACAAAGTATCGATAATTTTGACGGCCCATTCCTCACTTACAAAGCTATTTGGACTTAAACTTTACTTGCGATATACACAAGTAACACACCATGAAGTTCATTTCCATACATGCAGATGATGTTATACTTTCCAAAAGTACTTGGGCCCCGTTCATATTGCTCCGGATTCCAATGAAAACGGATAAAAAAGTATCCGTTTTTACCTTGCGTTCACACTGCTCTGCTGTGAAAACGGTGACTTTTGAAAACGAAGACTTGAAAACGCAAAACGCAGTGTGAACACCGAAAAGGATACTTTTGAAAACGCTAACAACAACAACAACAACAACACAGCAAGGTGCTTAAACCGCGCCAATTTGAACAGCTTCTCTCAACATTGCCGATTCACTCGAAGTTAGTACACTACTTGGAGAAATATTAGTGGCAGTGGGTTGTTTGAAAAGTTTATTAGCAGTCACATGGTCTGTAAACCAGTTGGTGGCGTTTTCCTTTTTATCCAGAGCGGAGCAATGTGAACGCCTCATCGTTTTCACACCGTTATCAAATGTATCCGGAGCAGTGTGAACAGGCAAAACGGATCGATATGAAAACGGATAATAATGATTACGGAGCAATGTGAAAATAGCCTTAATCAACTGGCCACTTTGAGAAAGACATTTTTTAAAGGAGAGTTCCATTTTTCAGAGGATATAGGGCTAAAACTTCAAATAAATGAAATTGCCCAAGAGCGACGTCTTATGATTGTCATAAATGCGAGTTAGTCGATGGAATGAAATTTTAGATTTTTCAAGTTCATATTTGATACAAAAAAATACATCCTTTTATATTGGCACTTACAAAGTAGCAAAAGACTTGCCGCTTCCAAGTGCCTGTCAATCTGCCAATGTTCAAGAACTTTTCTAATACCAGGGAATTTGCTAATCACTATCAACAAGCCAAATGATTGTACTGCTCAGCTTTGAAAGGCGTTATGCCTCTAGGCATTTCACTGGCCATGGTCATTTAAATTCCCATTGGTTGGACTGTACAATAGACCTATTGCTAGGGAGCCAATCAGCTAATCTTCAATATTTTCTCGATTTTAAACACGCTGTGAAAGCCTGTTATAACTCTAAACGGTTGACCGATGGGACGTAGTGCCTTTAAAGGCAGCACAGCATGCATAGAAGTTTGTTTAATTTTTAAAAGTATAGCATTACAATATTTGAAGCGTGTGCATAGACAGATACCTTTTTTCCTGGAACTGAATTTGTAAAATAATCCTAATTTTTGTAAAGTGTGCAAGTTTTGACAAGAACTATATGAATTTTTGGAAGTATTTATCCAGTTCGGCGTGCCACCGGTAGGTACTTCTGCTACCTTGCGGTCATCTTCAATGACTTCTTGGTTTTTATCCAAACCAATAAAATGTGATCCCTGTATTTTTATTACAAAAACTGGCTTGATAACTTTTCAAAACGTCGGATTTTATTTTAGATTTCTAAGATCTATATTTTTTTTACTGACTGATTTTGGCATTTCGTGATAATTGGACACAATTATTTCTTGTTCTTTGATATAATTTATGGTTTTGTTGTCATCGTTCTTGGCTCCTATCATATTTATTTTTCAACTTTTCTTCGATCCAGTATCACCTTCATGTAAATCATGACAGCATTACGCATTGGCTACCCTGTGTACTAAAGCCATGAAATTTACAGCGAGGACATGGAAAACCAAGCGGCGAAGCGGAGGAGCATCAAGCTGAGGAGAAAATACCGTTCTTATCTTCTATTGTCCGCGCTCGGATTTATGTTGCTCTGGTACCCAAAGTAAAGTAGCATTGGGCATAAGTTTAAGACCAGATTCTCTCCTGAGAGCCCATCTATTGATACCATTGTTTGCTCTGTAAGGCCTTTAGTGTTAAAAGTCGTGACGAGCAAAGAAGTCGCTATGTTAAACAACTCCCAAGCGAAAAACATTAGAAAAAGTAACCGAGAAAAGGTATTTTCTAAAAATGCCAATTGACTAGCAAACTTCATTATCCTAAGACCACGTTACGACTCGCGCGAGAACTGCTTGACAAAAATTGCTCTGATGTTCGAACTTCAGTCCCGAGCAAGCGATCGATATGATGAGCTTGGTGTCAGGTTTGCAAGCTTTAAATTTTATGCTGCCTTTATATACTTGTCATGTTTTCGTCATTTTTGTATGTATTGTCACTAGTTTCACGCCAAACTTAAGACTTGTCCATACCAAACGCAAGTCTCCCTCTGGGTGCCATTTTAAAAATCGGACACACATGGTAGCCTAGAGAATATTATTCTAACTCGAAGACTTTATGTCCTAATTTCGTCATAAGAGTGAGGAAATCAAGGAGAGTATTTATTTTTTGAAGAATATTTGAATTCTTTTAAGTTATTCAAGGTAAAGTTAAAAGTCTAATAAATTATCACGCTCTCTTTTTAATCATGGTCTTTCTTAGACTAAATGTGAGTGGGTGGCACGACCAGGCCAGAACCAGGACCCTTGACCAGCGACAAGTTTCCGTCTACAAAATAAGCTACCCGTACCGGACATCAGAATTTGTGGTAAGACAGAGTTTTCGGTACAACCGTACAACGGAAAATTCTTCGTTGAATAAGGTTTTCTCTTCATTTCTGGACGGAACGACGCGTTTCTCCACACTTGCCGAACGCGGATTTTTCGAAAATGATAGACGGGATACGGGCTTTCGATAAACGGAATACGAGTTTTACGGATTCGCGGAATTTTTTACTTGTTGTCTTGTAAAAGGATTGGTTGAATTTTTTTGGTTTTTCTGGTCAGCAGCATCCAACAATTTTTGCGACGCAGAAATTTTGCTGAGATTGATCTCTACAAGCGCCCCCCCCCCCCCTTGATGACCTCCACCTACCTTTTTCTCGCTCTGTATTCTCCCAATTCCTGTTCTACAATCACAACTTAATTCCGTTTTTATCAAAACTCTCTACAGTCAATAAAATTGTAGCTTCGATAAGATAAAGCGACTTATCCTTATTTTTGTAGTATCAATGCGAATAAAACCAAAGCTGACTACTCTTATATTCTCTAATTTCAACTAATGCAAAATTTGTACACAAGAAAAGTATTAAGATCTATACCTTTGAAATCAGGCTGCCGAGTTGATTTAGCATTGAGTAATCCATGAATTTTTAATCAAAGAATATTCAAGAGAAATATTGTTAAAAAGTTAATCATGGCATAAAACACCTTGGCCGAATTTTACAAATCAAGTTATCTTTGAAGAAATTCAACACAGTAAGTTCTCGAATAGGCCTTTGACGCCGAAAACCCCTTCTTATAAAACATCACCCAAAATTTTTATTTGAAACGCCCCCCCCCCTCGAATAAAACCCCTCGTAGGTGGGGGTAATCTATTATAAGAAGAACTCCATTACTGTCATGGCTATTTCTCTCACTAATCAAAATTAATACTCAATTCGTTGATCAATTTACTAAAATATAACTGTTTTTACTTCAGTGAAACTTATAAATAAGGTTACATCTGTGAAATGGCCACCTCCAGAGTTGCGTAAAGGCCGGTTTACACGATCATATTCAGGTCACATTTGCATCACATATTTTATGTGATCACAGAATGTGATCGTGTAAACGACCTTACAAGTTGCTTGAAGTTGTACGAAGCAGCAAGAATTAATCCTTTTTATGTACGAAGAATGAGTACATGAAGGGGGGATTTTGCTCAGCTCGATGGGCATCCATATATATAGATATATATATATATATATATATATATGTAGAATTGTTGCCAATTGTGTAACAATGGATCGGCATTTTGATGAGTTCAACAATGGAAACATAGAAGCCGAATTCAAAGGCGGGAGACAATCGAAACAATGCAGGCATAGAATGCCAAAATCAAAGGATTTTCCCAATTTTCCCAAACGAACAATCGAGAATCGTGAGTTTCCCGATTAAGTGGGCAATTGAGGTTCGCTAATCGACACTTAGGTCTATAATCGTGCTATTAAATTGGGTTCGGCTGCTAGCCTGAGATCCCCTTTGTGGTCATCCTCTTAGATTCGACCAATCACCTTTAGATCTGCACGTGACGTTGTGCAGTTAAAATTGGTTCTGCACGTGCATGTTGAACGGTAGCCAGAATAGATCAGAAAGTTCTCGTAATCGAGAATGGTGCTTTCATCTTGTCAAGCGTCAACGTAATTAGGCGTATAATTTGCAATTTGCTATGTAGGATACAAAAGAAAGTGCGGAAATATGCGATTTCACGAGTTTCTGCAAGAATCAACTTTCATGCATGAGTCGTGGAAAATATATTGTAAGTGTTTCAAATCTGTTTAGTTTTTCGCAAGTTTTGCAAAGTCGGTGAAAGTTATTCGAAGATTTCCAGGCTTTGCGAAATTGTCACAAAATGCTTGCAGGGACTTTTCAATTTTCTCTGGGGTTGATCCAAAATTCATTCGAAATTTTTCAGACCCCATATTTTTATATAAAGAAAAGGTCAATATGTTGGATAAGATAGTTTGGTGCAGGAATAACGTAAAAAAAATAGAAATTTAGATCGTGTGAGGTCAGACCAACAGTTACGGGAATAATCAATTAATAATCTTGGGATCTGTGACTACATTTCTCCATCAAATAGTTGAAT